AAGTTATGATCAAATATAAAGTCACATAACTCCCCTCATATGTTCATACTCGAGGTATATACGTTCCAAAAGTTTTGGTGTGTAATCTCTTTCACTTTACGTTTACATATTTTAGACTTGGTGATGACTATTAATCCACAACACAATCAATCCATATAATTCATTCAAGTAATCAAACATTTCAATTTAACTCTAGAATGATTTGTGATCACAAATAATTAAATTGTTGAATCATTTTTAAACTACCTCGGCGTTAAATAACACCTTAAGCGCATAATGCACTACAAATCCTATCCCTCGGTGTTTAGAACACCTTAAGTGCACTTAGGCACCAAGATATAAATTTATCCTCATGTACATAGACACTTAAATAGCTCATTTCCCATGTTTATAACATCAATAAAAGTTATATGAAGCATAATAAAATTCCCTTTCTTTATATTCTCAACCAAATTAAACAATTAGTTTAACTAAACATGCTCTCAATCATGCCAATAATAAAAGTATGGTTCAATAACAATATTTCATAATCACCAATTCCAATAAATAAATTATTTCAACCAATCATGCTTCACTATTATTTCACCAAAACCATTCCAAATCAATCAATAATCAAATTCACCAATTCATAGCATAATACTAACTTGAAATTAATTATACAAGTCCTAGTATATTTCTACACGCTTTAATAAATACCAAGTATGCGAACGTACCTCGAATATGATTTCAAAATCACCACGACTACACGAAATCACTCACTTGGAAGTCCTACAACCCAAAATTACAAAGAGACATTATTAATACCTATTCATATTAAATTTCTAGCAATATATACACTCTTTAAAACATTTTTAAACCTTCTAAAACATGCTGAAAATTAATTAAAACCACATACTTTTATTCCCAATCAATGGGTAATTAAAATCCCTTCAAGAAAACTTTATTCTAGCCTCTACATAAAAATTTCAGCAATATAAATTTTTTTAAACTTGCTGTAATTTAGTTCAAAAATATTAATATCAATAGTTTTAATCAACCACTATTAAATTCCTTCAATAAGCATCAATTTAGAAACCTAGGGTTTATCAATTTGGGACTTTTTCATTCAACATCAAATCTGAAAAATTTATGTATATTAATTATTAATAAAACATCACAACACATACCGAAAACAATAATTAAACCAAGTTGAATTAAATTTAAAATAGGAAGAACAAATTTTTTTTTGCTTGCGCACGCACACACGCACGGGGGCTGTTGCCCGTGCCTCCTGTCGGTGGCTGCTATTGTCGGTCCTTGCTGGTGACGGTAGCCAGCTGGTGGGTGGTTGTGGTGGTGGTGGCCAGCCACGTGTGGTGTGTGGTGTGTGTGTGGGTGGCGTGAAGGTGAGAAAAACAAGAGGGTTAGGGAAAAATTAAGGGGAAAGAAAAATAAGAGGAGAGAGAGATAAAGTTTAACTTTGGGTATTCTCAGCAAAGTCTCAATTTGCTCATAGATGGGTATTTATACCCCATCTGAAAACCCTCATAGCTTAACTTTCCCTTTTTACCCTTAATGATTTCCACTCCTATTCAAAATAGTTATTTGACTCTCTTTAAAATTCTATTGACTTTAAAAATATTTTATAGATTGTATATGCCCCAAAGTTTCTAAATAATAAAATAAAATATTTTCAAAACCAAATAAATAAATAGAAATGAGTTTTTATTTAAAACAAACTTTTTAAATTGTTAAAATACCATAAATAATTCATTTAAATTATTTAAATACGTCATATAATAATACTTTAAATTAATATACGTATGAAAATACGGATTATTACATCTTTATAGCAAAAGTCACTTATAACTGATAAGGTCTTTCTAAGCCACCTTTTTTTTTTTAATAAATTATTTTTTTATAATGTCTTTTTTTCAAAAAGAATTAACTATAAAAGGTACTTTTTGGCTTTTTGATCGATTTTACATAATTAATGAAACATTGGATGGTTTCAAAAAAAAAAAAAAAGATTGCATTCAATTCCTCTTCTTCAACCAAAAAATAGAGATACATAATTAATTTTTTTTTTCTTTCCTTCTCTCATAAAGTAAGTCTTGTATAAGGCGGACTTTGGTTAATTATATTGAAATACGGTTAATTTGATGGTAAGTTTAATTTACCAATTTTTATACTTCAGTAACTTCAATCCATTTAGTTTTAACTTTTAATTTGTAATGAGTTTGATTGTATTTTAATGTGTATATTTCTAATAGATAAATATTACGAAGTATAAAGGATATTATGATTAATCTAATACATTTTGAGTGTTTTTTAAGGGTAAATTTATATTTAAAAAAATTATAACTTTTATAATATATAAGGGTTGTCTAACTGTCTTTAAATTATACTTCATGGTGAATTTAATTCTTCTTACAATAAATTAATGAAAGTGTGTATTATTCAAGAATTTGTGTTAGATTCATAGTTTTGAGGTTAAGATAGTTGGATAGGAAACATGCTGATAAACTATAAAGACTGTAAATTTTAAGGTAAGAGGGAGAAAGGAAGGGATCCTATCCCCATGAGCTTACCCATATTACTCATCTTGAGTAATATATTGTGTTACTACTTAAGTGACATTCCTGTAAATACTTGCCTTGATATTTGCGCTAGAGTAGTCCTAAATTGACGGAGCTCTACCTCCATCATCTTCAAATCCAAAACCCCAACCCACCTCCACTCCATTTTTCCCTTCTTTCTTCCTCCTCTTCACACCGTTTTCAATTTCACTATCGGTACACTATTGAAGCAGCTCAAGCTTTACTCTCTCTTGCACCACCATTTACACAGTTTTCTTTTCGGCGGCTTCACCGCCAAATCAAACGAAAACCTTATGAAAAATGGAGGAAAGAATAGCATGGTTAACCCCAAAGGTATGAGTGTTGTCCAGTGGCGGACTTGGGTTTAGATCTGGTGGGTCAAGTGACTCACCAGGCCCAAAAAAAAATTTTAAGTTATTTTTTTTTTTAAAAAAAAAAAAAACTAAAATCAGTTTTCCCCAAATGACCAAATCACGAATTCAGTTCAAGACTTCAAGCCCTAGCCTTCTTCAGTTCTTCTCTTCGCCAATTCGCCTCTTCCCTTCAATCCTTCATCAATCATCTCCAACTCCAGTTCTCCACTCCAGTTCGCCTCTTCCTCTTCGCAAGTTCGCATCTTCCATTCTTCCTCTTCGCCTGAATCGCCTCATCCCCAGTTCCTCTTCGCTAGTTCGCGTCGTCTTCCTCTTCGCATAATTTCAGGTTAGTCATCTTCATCTACTCATCTTTCGGCTTTTTTTTTATTTATTTATTTAATTGTTGATATTACTTGTTAGTTATGAATTAGTATTACTAAATTTGAACCCTAAATCCCTAATTGTTCAATAATCAACTCAATTTCAGAGAATTTTGCATTATCTGAAATTCTGAATTGTGAATTTGTGAAATGTTTGACACTTTGACAGTGCTCTTCGCTAGCTTGCTCACGCCTCCAGTGCTGGCTGTGCTGCTGGCCTGCTGGGCGGCTGCTGCTCGCTTGCTGCCCTGCTCCACTGCTCCAGTGCTCTGTGTTCTGTCCTCTGTGCTCACCGCTCTTCTCTTCGTCGCTTCTTCTAAAGTCTAATCTCCTATTCTCATTTTGCTAGTAAGTTGATTTCTAATTTTTAGTTTAAAATTCTAATCTTCAATTTATTTCAGTCTAATTAGTTAATTCTATTAAACTTTGGTTGATTTTGTTGTTGTTTGTTTGGTAAACTTTGAACCTTTTGTTAACATTGTTGGGTTTTTGTCTTTTTGATGAAATTTTTTAGTACTATTATTTGGTTGTTCGGTAATTTTTTTTTTTTACATACTTGATTATCGATTGTGACCCACCAGTCGGAAATTCCTGGGTCCGCCACTGGTGTTGTCCTCCTCTATTGAAGCTGATCGCAAAATTTGATTTCTCCATTGAAGACTTTGAAAATCTTCTGAATTTTCTCCATTAAAGACTTTGAAAAATCTTCTAAATTTTCTCCACACTTTGAAAATCTTCTGATTTATCTCCATTAAAGCCTTTTCGTTAACACTGTTTTTTTCACTTTTACCTAACTTAACAAATTTACCCTGACACTACGTAGTAAAATGACCAGCGTGTCCTTTGAATATCTTCGATTGTTGCTCAAATTGAATAACTTGGATTTTCTCCTTAACCCCACAAGTATGAGAAAACAATCACACAATACCCCACAGTATAAATAAATAATACCTAAACTTAATGAAATCTCTTAGGAATTACTCCGTATGTTGTAGCTCCACGCCTCCACTCATTACTCCCTAATAGTTGCATCTGCATAATTATTTATTAGCCTACTCTAGTGTTAGTCAAATATACAATAGTCTAGTTCAATGATGCAAAATAAACCAAAAATTATAATGAAAAAAAAAAAAAAAAAAAAAGTAGAACATTTGGCATCAAATACACGACGTACTACCGTGAATACTACATTATATCAATAAGTGTACATGTTGAAATGCATGTGACAAATCCTTCCATCCAATATTATTTGACAAAATTCTCTAAACATGGGACACTCCTCTTTCACGGGCCTTCTATTATGTAATAATTGCACACCCATTAATTTAACTCACTAACTACCAAAATACACTGTTGAGATCCATCTTAATTTTAACACAATGAAATCTTACAATTAAGGGTTCGTACAATGTCACTATTCATTTATATTTTATAATAACTGGTTTTAGTTTTTGGACTTGAGTGTAATTATTGGAAGTATACTAGACCAATTTATATTCTTATGCTTGACTGTTATGATCAAATCCCTTTTATTTAATTTTATTTTGAAAGTGATTTAAATTGTAAAGTTTAAACCATATTAGTAGTTAATGTTATTATAGGCCGTATAATAATCATGTTTAATTTAATTTTATTATATATGTAGATTAATAAAAAAAATTTGTAAAACTGTATAACTCCTTTGGAGTGAATTTAACAAAATTTTACGTGAATCCGAAAAAAGAACCGAAAACGAATCGGACAAAGTATATGGAGACTGTTTTCATTCAGTGACAGAAGCCCCCCTTTTCTCCTGCTAAGAATTTATGTCATTTAAACCCCCCTTTGTCTTTGCTCATCCAAAACCCAACTATAACTCAACCACATATCTCACTCTTACTCTCTCCATCCTCCACCATGGGCTGCACATGTTGACAATATTTATGTGCTAGAGGCCTCTACCGTAGACTCAGAGCGCGCAGCGCGCAGTTGTCAGACAGACACCGATCCCAAAAGCCTGAAAAACCCGAAAACAAGGAGACCTTACTAACAGAAGATAAAAGAAAGGAGGCTGAAATTCGACGAAATGGGGGTGTGTTCGAGCAGGCCGAAAAGAGGGAACTATGCATGGGAGAATGATCCAAGGATGTTTATACAGAAAATGAGGCTACTGCAGCAGGAGATCAATGCAATATTGAAGCAGAGGGAGGAAGAGACCGAGGTTTACGAGAAAGAACTGATGGTGTTTGCGTTCAGGGAAGCGGAGTGGAAGAAAGAGCGAAAGAAGCTCAGGGAAGAGGTAAAAGGGCTAAAGAAGAGCTTGGAAGAGCGCGAAGAGAGGATCAGACAGATGGAAGAGGAGGCCGAGGGGGGTATTGGTATTGCAAGAAAGAGCGAAATTTCATCAGATGGAATGGCAACAGATTGTCGTAATAGTAGTAATATTGCTGCTGCGGCTGCTGCTACGAGCTTGTCGCTGATGGAACAGATGAGGGAAGAAAGAGCAAGAAGAGATGAGGCTGTTGAAAAATGGAAGATGTTGTATCTTGCTATTAAGCATGAGCTTGATGATCTGATTCAAAGGACACATGAAGGTACACTTTTCGCCTTAATTAAGCATTCTTTCTCATCATATTCTGTGAAATTCAGCAGCCTAGTTAATGTTGGCTTCTTGAAAACAGAATTAGTAGTAATAAATTAGCCTAATTTGAGAAAAAAGTATGAGCCCTCTCAATCATTTTCTATTTATTATATAGAGAGCTACAAAGGGGGTGACTATGATGAGGTTTGATTTCGGGTTTTGAGTATCAACTCGCAAGACTTTACCACTAACATCATCTACTGCGATGATAAAATTTTAATTGTTTCAATGAATTGTTTTGTTTGTTAATAAATGATAAAGATCATGTCCAACTTGTAGCAAAGCTTCAATAGAACTGCAATGAGTGGGGCATACAGTTATTGATGCAGTAACAAATGAGTAATTTGCAAACCAGAAGTTACAATTTATTTTGGTTATATCAGACCAGTAAATTGACAGTTCTAAAATTGTGAACCAGGGACACTAAACTGGAGAGCAGATGAAGAAGAATTGATGGAAGATCTTCAACGGGAGTTGAAAGCGAGGGACGAAACGATTCAAGTGTTAAAAGCACAATTAGCTTCAATGGAAGATGAAGAATATAAGAGGAAAAGGGAAGTGGACATTCTGAGACAAAGTTTAAGAATAATGAGCACCAATAGTAATAATAAGGTTGCAACTTCTGCACATGTTAAAAACCTCTCTAAGTCTTCAATCCGTTTTACTAAGCTAGCGTTTGTAAACTAGAACATTATATGAATTTTGGAATGGAATATCTTAGATTGTATCCAATCAAAGCGATAATGTTTCTGTTAATACTAAATTTTACTCATTTTCGGTTGTTTGATCTGCAAATCTTTGTTGCTGTTTGCTTAGCTACCTTTCAGACTCCTAAATTGAAATAAAGTACAGTATCTGGAAAATTAATGGTCATACTGTAATGTGAAAGTCAAAAATGGTGCAATTATTTCTAAACAAATTATGAAAGTTCAAGTATTTGTTGCCATGTTAAAGTGTCGATGAACAATTACGGGTACGATAAATTGAAAAGCCGGAGAGAGACTAAGAAAAAAACAAATAATAGTGGGAATGAACAAGGTGACAGATTTGCTTACTCGAACTGAAGAAAAAATAATGTGCAAGTAAAAAAGTACAAGGCCTTTAAAAAAGAGAATAATATGAAAAGCACCTATTTTTGGTCTTAACTATTTCTATGCCAGATGAACATTCACTGAGGTTATATGAACACTAGGAAGTGCAGCTCAGAATACCACTGAAACAATGTAGAGCCGAAAGCAACTCATATCTTTCTTACCTTATATTATGCTGGTTTATTTATTTATTAATCTATTTATGTCCCTTGCTTTATTTGTTACTACTATTATTGGAGGAGGATACTAAATGACAAACCACTTAATGTCAAGGTGATATTCACTTTTAGACTCTGTTGCTCGGACTTGGTCGGTTATCCTATCTAACACTGTCGGATATGTTTTCAACTCGGCCATTTGGTAATGTTGGTAAAAAAATAAAATAAAGGATCAAATGTCCTATTCATGTCCGAATGTCAAGAATCCATACTTAAAATAATGAAGAATTTGAGTAACATATTTTTAAGATGAATGAAATTGAATGATCCATCAAAAGAAAAACTAGTATACACTAAGAAAAGAGGAATACTGAATGGAAATAGTGTTCAAACTTCAAAGAATAACATCATTTGTATCATGGAGGCTGAAGTAGTAGCCACCTTCCTTCTGAAATAAGTTGCTTAAACTAATTCTTTCAAGTGTGGCAAAGCATCTGAGCTGCAAATCCTGCAATTTTACATTCAGAATATAGACCAACAGCAGAAGGAACAATGCGGCATAGTAAGCAATATATAAGGATAGACACCTCGAAAGAAGTTGGCTCAAAGAGTTGAGAGCAAAGACAGAGACATAATTTTTTCACAATAAAAAAAAAAAACGTCCCATTTTAAAGAAACATGATATTTACAAGACATATATACAAAAATCTTAAGTTGAGCAATTATACATCAAGAAGTATATTTACAGAGCAGAAATAAGGAGGATAGACGGACAGTACTGAATGTCAAATGCTAGAGAAAGTTGAGATGTGAGACAAAGGAGGAACAACATCCACACAAAGATTGTAGGAGAGCAGCTCCAGTAAAAAAGCATTTACTGGGTAGCTGCTGCTAACAGGACCATATTCTGATATTTGGATAGCCAAGAACCATGTACAGCCAAACAGCACATATACACAACTTCTTTTGTTCTTTTATAAAATCGCATAGATATGACCCCTCTTGCTCTTCCTGCTCCGGTGTATTTTAGAATAAATTCTAAATACCAATATTCTAGATAGCAAAGTGGAAAATCCAATGTCAATTTATGAGATTTCTGCAGACACCATAGTTTTGGAGTACTTGATATGATGATTCATGAAAGTTAGCTAATATGAAACTTGAGAGTTAACAACCAACCATGTTTCAGCTGACAGATAAATCGTCTCCTTTCTTCTTCACAGCCACAGTAGCAGTCTGATAATTTGACTTTACACTCTGCCACATATAAGGAATTAAACACAAGCATTATATTTCACAACCGTTACCACCACAGCAACAATGATGAAAAAGACCAGAAAAAATGATCCAGAATGGATCCCACTATTGGCATGATCCTGGGAGGCTTTTAATAACTCTTAAGAAACCCTGCTCCAATAAGCAATAAGTGGGAACAGGCAGGGAGGATATATCTCAAAGAATATAATTTGAGAAAAGAGCATCACAATAGTACATGATCTGAGGACTGAAAGGAGCACAGGTAAAAATAGAACCTAGAGCTCGCATGGTTAGTTAAATCCTAAAATCTAAACTATTTAATAGACACCATAACATCATCTGGGTACTGAAATTGTAATTCAATAGTATAGTACTCAATCTATTCTTTTATGTTTAACACAATTGTAGATATTTCAATTAAGAAAATTTCATATAAAAGGTGATTGCGTGTAAGATAAAGTAAAATAATGTAATAATAGATGGCTGGTTGTAAGAAAAAGTGAATAAAAGGTTGTGCGGAAAGATTTATTTATTGTATAATAAGAGGGAAATGATGGAAAATGAGGCATGCCTAAAATATTATAAAACAATGTGAGTAGAACAAAAAAAATAGGGACAAAAATGAAAGCAAGTAGAACAAAATAGTAAAAGGAGAAGGATTTTATTTTATCTGATTATTCAAACAAGCAAAAATAAGATCAAGATTGATAATAGTTGTACTAGTTCATGCTATTAAACCATCAATGATGGATTAGATAGAAAGACATGGAATAACGGAACAATTGCCTCCCCTTTAATCATTCTAACTCTAATAGTTTCCTCTTATAAGCTTGAATTTCAGTTCATACGAACATTACCGACACATATAACTCAAATATTATAGCTAATGGTAATTTCGAACCATGCATGGATAGCCTCTAGTATTAATGGGCTTGTGCAATTAAAGCCTATCTATTGACAATTTCCTCATAGCTTTAGTTCACACGAATTACCTTTCAATCAATAAATTTAATCTCTTCATTCCACTTAAGTGGAAGTTCATTGGTTACACTTGAAGGGAGTTTGTTAGGTACAATATTGAATTGAGCTTTTTGTAGCAGTTTATAAACATTTTCACTGGGCTTGTGCCACCCATTTGTTGGCGATTTCCTAAGAGCTTTGGTTTATAGCCCAATTTTAGCCTTCTTATGGAAGTGGCTGTTAGTCATAGGGTTTAGGGGCTTTCTTGAGCTTTTTGCCAAGGGGGAGATTGGATCATTTTCGAAAATGTAATACAATTAAATAACTGTCGGGGGAAAATAGTAGTCTATAGTCATACAATTAGGACTGCTAAAAGCCAATTCATATAAATAAAAGCATAAAACATGGGTGGAAGCCACAATTGACAGGATACATAATTTAGTACTCGAGTAATCTAGCTACATTGAAACTGATAAAGATAACAGCTCGGGGAAGGGGGGGGGGGGGGGGGGGGGGGGGGGGAGGAGGGAGTGCGTTCCACCTTTTATCTTTATCCAGAATTTTCCCTTTATGGACAACTCGTTTCATGGCCCTGTCTATGAGCAATATGATTTATGATCAAGCAATGTCTTAAATTAGTTTCTACTTCTCATTTTGCACATTATTTTAGTCATGGACGTAAAATAATTTCCTTCTACTAAAGAATTTTAACAAGAGCAACAATCAACACTTGACTATATCCATAACAAAAAATTCAGAAATTATATAATTTGGCTTGTTAATTGCATACATTTTCAGAAAGTATTTTAATTTTGGCTTATTAGTTGCACAAGCAAATTAAGGACCATTTGTATTTTACATAGTTACTAACACGAATACATGTATATCTATCGAGGAAATTTAAGAATTATCTAATGTAGGGCCAAAAGAATAAAAATATTTGATGCATGTTTGTACTTACTTACATCCAAGTACTGCCTTCCATCTTTCAATCTGATTACTTGAAAAAGAACTTCTTTATCTTAAAATTACTGATTATTAAAATTTATATTTTACTAATATTACAGGTTACTTGCATTCAACAAGTCATAAAGATTCTTATATAAAACATAATTAAAGACATCCTTTATTACCATGTAACAGGTTTCACCTTGGTCAACTCCTAATATTTACAAAAAAAAGGTTAACTCCTGATTATATCGTTCACAATAAATATGATTAGCTGTTTAATATCTATGAATTATCAACCTTAACCATTAAGCTATACATGTTTTAGCTTTCAGCTAAGGTTTTTTCTTTACTCTAGCTCTTCAGCTTTGAACAATCGAAACCTCTAAGCAACTAAAACATTACACACACCAAACATAACCTCGATTTCAACTGAACTCACACAAGTGACACAACTCAAGCATAGATCCATAGTAGACTAATCTACAACAATTAAAGTGCTCGGCAAATAAACTACCTCCAGCAATGAGATATAATAGAAATCCTCCATATGTTGCATCAATGCGCTTCCATCTCTAATGGCCCGGAATATATTTATCTCAGTCTGCAGTATTCTGTCTACTAATTCTTTCTCACCTTTCATCTGCATAATATGCAAAAAAAAAAAAAATAAGGGGAAAAAATTGATCAATATACAAACAAAAGAATATTGGGTTAAAATGGATTTTGTAATTTTGTTTTCCTAAGCAGATATCTTTTTTTTTTTTTTTTTTAATTTCCTTTACAGTTTGTGTATATAAGTTAATAGTACACTTTCACCACACGCACAATACGAGTAACAGCAATCAAATATTCTGTAAAAACATAAAAATAAATGAAATAAATGCTATACAAATCAGAGAGATGTTTACTAAATTGCTGAAGAATAATAAATTAAATATAAGTTCAGGTTTTATGTTGCTAACATACAAGATACTTGGCAACTTGCCAATCTGCTTGTGCTGATCTACATAAATCATACCAATATACTAGAACTATCTGAGATGTACCTATAGCACTGTACAAATGTTTACAATCTAAAGTCAACAATGAAATAAAAGAATGGTTTTTAAGTTAATACACATAGAACCCAGTTGTGAAGGGTACAGGGCATATGCTGGCATACACAGAAGCAATGCAAAAAATTGAGTGCAGTAATAATAGCTTGCAGAACCAAAACAGCTGATTCTAACTTTTGTAGGTTCCTACTCTAGTTACAAAGTGTTCTGATTTTAATAAGTAGAACAAAAGATGCCACAAGACTGGTACAGAACCTATTGAATGACCTAAGCAAGCTTTTGGAGCAATCACTGCGGAATTGGGCATTCATTGTCATGTTATGTTAGATGCATTTTTTTCAGAAAAAAACATTGAATGTTTAGGCATGCATTTTTTGAGAAATTTTGAACAGCATAAACATAATCGTATACCTTATCTCCATGTCTTAACTAATGGCATGTTTGGATAGCAGTTATGGTAAAGGGGAGGGGAAGAGTAAGTGAGGTGAAGGAAGGGAAGGGGAGAATTTGTATTTTCACTTACAAATCTTTCCAAGAATCGAAGGACATGATTAATTAAAAGCAAAAGGAAAATTGATACTTCAGACTTTCTACCCTAATCTCTGCCCATTCCATAGCCAAACAGGAAATAAAATAGACCCCTTATTCTCCCTGAATTTCCTTTCCCTCAGCTCCAAATTCCCTCTCATTGCCTTTTTGGGATGCTTAAAAAGTTTCAAGAAGCACTTTAAACTATTGCTTCATCTCCCAACCATTCTCAAGAACCGAGAGCCATTCGGGTGTGGAGAATGGACGAAAAGATAAATCAGTTGAAAAAATAAAAAATAAAATATTTCAAGTAACCCATTGGGCTCCTTGCTTCTGATTCTAATCACTAAATAGTTCAATTCTGTGCTCTAGGAGAGCTGGAACCAAAGACTTTGATTTCTGTTGTGTAATATCTACAACTAGTTTCAATTCCATGCCAGATTACCAGAGGAAATGGAATTTGTACCCATAATACAACCTTGTCGTATGTAGATTTAAATAACCATCACACAAGCCACTCTGCATATTCACAAATCTTTACCGGATTAATATTGTAGAGTAGGCTAAATCTGAAGTCTGATCTGATCATTGTCATGTGTTTGTTTCATCCCCAAGTTATTACTATCATAAAACTAGGAAACAGACCAAGTTCACCCCACCCTAATCTGCCAGTTGTTGGGTGACACCATAACTTTTATGACTATCGCAAGATGACGATTATTGCTAGTTTCCACCCGTGACCTGATGCTTCAAAGGGGGGAAATGAGAGTAAGCACTGCAGCCCTGGGAATCAATACAGATCCAGAATCTAATGAAGACTTAAAGGGAGCAGCTTAGCTTCTATAAAACTTCACATTCACCAAATATTTGCAAAGAAAGGACAGAGATGCATTCTAAACATTAATAGGCTTCTACAACTTGCCTCTTTTTCTTCTTTTATCCTTCAACTTTTAATTTCTTTTTTAGCTTTTAGAAACTTTACTACTCAAATTCTGATTTCTGCACTTGTCATCATTCTTATGAAAAATAGTACCATATATAGTTCAACATATTTCATACGAACACCAAAAAATTCTAATATGTACTACCTCAATTCCTATTTGTTTTTGACATTTACTATTCTCACAAGAATTTAGGAAATTGGAGAGAATGTGGTTAACGTGGTGAATGGGTGGGGAAAAAAAAAGTGGATAAAGTAAGAGAAAAAAAAGGTGGGTGGGTGAAAAGAGAGAGTGAGTGGAAAAGTGTAAAGGCAAATAAGGTAGTCAATGGGGCTAGCAAAAAACAGATAAAAGAAATAGCATAAAGAGCTTTAAGGAACGGACTAATGGGAAAAGCAATGTTATCAAAATCGCGATCCAAATCGTAGAATCGTGCGATTCTAAGATCCTAATACACCCCGTCAATCTGGATCGTCCATATAATCGGTCTACGGTAGAATCGGCCATAGGATCAGTAGAATCGGCCATAGGATCGGTAGAAGCGATATCGATTCTAAGATCGTATGGCCGATTCTACCGATTCTACAAAATAAGCTTAAAAGGAACATTTTTATCTTAGTGGACCTAAGCATGGGCTTGCTCATCTGGTTTCTTTCCAATTTATTTTTTATCTTTATTTTTTCCCCTTAATTTTTATTTATTTATTTATTTTTGTTTAAAATAAGCTAATTTGCGGGCCTACTATAGTTCTTGGTTGGTAGATTCCGTGGATCCAACCCTGCCTGATTTCGCTCGAATTTCACTTGATGTAGCTGATTATGTTACACTCGAATATTACTCGAATTATCTGATTTCAGTGCAAGTATGTAAAGTGTATATAAATTTTTTAATAATCTTTAGCGAGTGAAGTTAATTTCTTTGAATTTTATAAACAGGTCAAGCTCTAGTTCAACCTCGGTAAAAAAATAAATATATATATATTAAAAATAGGAGAAAAAATGATGTTGGTTGTGGTAGACCTAGTAACATAATTCATACTTGGCCATAATTTACTTTTTGTGAACGTATTATTGCAATATAAGATATTTTAATGGCAAAAATGATGTTTTTAATATATATATATATATAATGTATTTTTTTTTATTAGAATTAGAATATAAAATTAACAAGTACTATTATAAATTTAGATTGTGTATGTATACACTATCGTCATATCATCTATTTAAAAAAATAACTTTATAAAAAATTATTTTATATACTTAATTTAGTTTAAATATGAAAAAATATTTGATACAGTTTAGTAACTTTTTTTTTTTTTTTTGCAATTTTTGTAGGATCGGTCGATCCTACGATCCGATTTCACGACTCCATCCTACCCCCCCATCTTCCAATCCAAAGTAGAATCCCGTGATAAATTGGGGGAAAGTGTTAAGAAAATATAGGAATGGAGGTAATGTAAGGAGGTTTATTTTTGAGAGCATTGAGAGTGTCGCATAAGACTAAGACTCAAGTGCAAAGATGTGACCAAATTGTTTCAAATAGGTTGTTTTGTAAAGTATTATAAATCGACAAACCCAAAATTATCTGGTTCATGTGTATAAAAATACTACCTCCGTTATTATATGCAACTTTTGGGTATTATTTGTGAGATATAAAAAATTCAAAAGTTGCACATAATATGTAATAATATGCAACAGAGGTAGTAAATAAAAAAAAAAAAAAAGAGACCTCATCCAAGTTACATTCCAACCCCAACTGAACATTACATCCCGTGTTTCACTTAAAAGTTAATTGCTATACAAAGATACACGACCTAAGCTTCTTATAGTCTACTCTAACTACTCTAATAACATATAACTATTATACATCCTAAATGACTTTATTAAAATCAAATTTGCATCGTGGCATGTTTTGTGATTGACACATCACTTCCTTTCCTGCAACACCGCGATTGCTGCATAAACCTTATCTTTGAACCATCCTAAATGCTTATTAAGAGCATCAAGAAAAAAAAAAAAAAAAAAAGGGACACATAGAGTTTTTGGGAAATAAAATTTTGTAGACATTAATCAGATATAAATATATGAAGAGTTTAGAAAGTTTTTCCATAGATGAATAACATAGAGTATATCACGGTAAACCAAATAGTTTTTCCAGTTTTTGCATAAATGAATAACATGGATTATATCACCGTAAACCAAGTATAAATTTTTCTACATAATTTGAAAATTTACAATCTTCATACCATTGACAGCTCAAAAATAAATATAAGAGCCACTTTTTTTTATATACTTTATACAATCTACAAATTTTTAGAGGATTACGAAGAAGCTAATTATATCATGAAAGATTTAAATGTACCTGAGGTTTTTTTTCTTGCTCATTTGATAACTTCTACTTAGCAGGGCATTTTTTTTTTTTTTTTTTTTTTTTTTTTTTTTTTTTTTTTTTTGGCCTTCCCCCCTTCAGGATCTCCAAATAAGCAAAAATTGGGAAAATGAACAAAAAACCCTTTGGTTTCACACTTAAGCCTAATTCTAAGTTAAGTATGATTGATTATTCTACAATTTATTACAGTATTACCCTATGCATTGAATTTTTTTAATCTAGTAAGTGCAACTAAACAAACAAAATTTGAAAAAGTAAAACATAAGTAAAAACGAGAGATAAACCAGAACATACAAATTCCCTGACTAAAACATCAGGTGTTGCTTCCCCAATCACATCTCCTTGATAACCATCACCAGAAAGCTTGACATGTTCCTGAAATATTGCATACATATGAACAATCATATAACCAATAATGATGCCTGAATGCTAGCAGTCATATTTTACACGTATTACGGTGTTTAAGTATGTAAAGGGAAAGCATCTCCTGCCTACAAAAAAATCTATAAAGAACATGAAAAGTATATGAACGTACTGGAGCATTCTCCTGATTTCCAGCAGTCAAATTTATAGGCTGAGCCACATGACAATAACCCATCAAGCGAGGGACAGTTGGTATAATGTCTCTGTGGTTCACCACCCTCCAGCTATCTTTCACTCTCTACAAAGATTTTGTCAACAACGTACAAAAAAACATCAGTCAGAATTCAGATGGCAGCAGACTAACAGTTTATAATGTAAAAATCTAAAATTTTATAGTATTGAAAAAACTTGTATGAATTGTGTTCACTTTTTTCTCTTTTTTTTTTTTTTTTTTTTTTAACAATCCACTTAATTCCATTACAACATAAAGAAACTAAAGTCAAAATTTTGTTAGCAGACACCAGGAGTTTCAGAGTAGAGAAAAGGAACAGATTAGAAAATGAGAGGATGCCGCTAAGGGCGCTAACTAATAATCACCATGAGTTCATCATCAGCAAGTATTAATAAGATACATAGGCCTGCTTGAATAAAAAAGTTAATAGGCTAGTTATGTAAGCATACAATGCCTTTATAGTGCAAGATAGAGCGATTTATAGTCTGAACTTCTATCCAGTCAAATTGATACCGTTAAAAACATATTTGATGTCCTCTTATATGCCACATCAAGTTAGCAGTCATTTTAAGCACTTTGCTCAAAAAAAATAAAATAAAATAAAACAATAATAATAATAATAATCACCATTTATAATTTATAGAAATGTTGACCAAAAGTCCCTAGTTAAGATTCTACGAATCAAATCATAATTTATCATACTCGATACAAAATTAATCCTATTATTTGGGATAGCCCAAATAGAGATGTGGCCAATAAAAGTGGAAAAGAAGGTCAAATTTTTGCCTAAAACATATATTGATTATAAAGTTTATTTTATGGACCTTGCTTTTATCCTTTTAGTGATAGAATGTCCTCCGTACAACTTAGTGTCCTTTGATAATATTGAGTTTTGACGTGTTATAAATTAAGAGAAGCATGTATCCTCAAATAATATAAAAACATTGGATGTCTCTTTTCTCTTTACTGATTGACTTTGAGAATATGAAAGAAATAACTAATCAATAAAATAGTAATTCGATATTCTTGCTTTTGTGAGGAAACATAATATCACATGGTAATAAGAATAAGCAATGGTATTCTAAAAGTGGAAATGCACAAGAAAGAGTCTTTGACAAGGTTTTTCCTTGCACCTTTTGCTCATACATTTTACTTATTGAAAAATTATAATTTTTGTCGTCTTTATAACTGATTAGAGATCTATTCCCCGGATTGCATTACATGTTAGGATTGGGGTACTTAGACAATGGTCAAAGATTTTTTTTATTTATCTTACAAATAACAAAATGATGGTTCCACAAGTCGCACAAAGTGTCTAGAAAGCTCATTTCAGTCTCACTAGCATTCTCTAACCTCGAATAACTTTAATTTTCATACATTATTACGTGTGCCTCGTAATATATTTGTGGTTCATTGTTTTACTCCTTTTCCTGGTGTTTCATGAGTTTTGTTGTGATTGGATGAGGAACGTTGGATATGAAAGGCTTTGATGACTCTTATTTATTATTGTGGTTTTTATTTGTCTTTTGTTCTAGCTAAAGTATGCCTACTTTAGGTTGGTGTTTGGTCTTTTTATGACTTTATGGCCTACTTGGCCTAAAACTATTGCATTACAATGTGGACAACCTAACTTCTCTCCCTTATACATGTACATCAGAGCAACTATTTTTCCGCATGGCTTGGTTGATTGAGTTTGCTTTGGTTGATTGAGTTTCCTTGTGTGCATTGATTTGATTTGGTTTATTGTTTAATTTGATGATGTTGATGAGTTTGATTGGTTGATGATTTGATGAATTATGCTCCCTTTTAACCCATACCCCAAAAACCTATTTTGCTTTCTTTGAAATCTAAAGCCCTAAATCCAAATTCTAAATGATAAAATCTTTAAAATGTATAAAAAAATTTCTTTAAATCTAGTTTTTGTAAGTATTGTTCTTTGTTTTAGAACCTCTAGTGAACTGATACTAATGAATTGATGATTAGATTTAATTTTATTTCTTAACTATGAAAGTTTATGCATGAATTGGATGTCTTCGGTTAAGCTTAGAAGTCAATTTATTGCAGCTAGTAAAGGAAAACCTCTTAGAAAACGCATAATCTTGGGTTAGAGGGTTCGGGTAGGATGGAGTAGCTTTCCCAAGTGATGTACTGACGTCTACTAATTGAAGCCTCCATTATTTGGCCTCTGAACATTTCATGTGTGGTTTTCTATCCCTCATTGAAGCCATCTAGATCAAGAATTGGCATTATGAATCTTAAGAAAGTGACTCAAACAGTTATTTAAAGATGATTGAGGTAATTTATCATTTTATCTTCATAGGAGATGGTTTTCTTTTTGTATATAAGTTTGTTGTTAAGGGGTTTGGCATTTGCCCCCTTTTGCTACCCTCTATTTGTAACCTTTTCCCTTCTTCGCGTTACAAGCGCATTACAAGCCAAAGCCTTTAAATGTATTAATATTTTGACCCTTGTAGGCTAATAAAGTATGTTTCCCATTGATGTCAAATGGAAACAACATTTGTATATATTATTTTAAAAAATGAAAATGAAAAAGAAAAAAATAGCAAAAAGAAAGGAAAAAAAAAGGTAGTCAAACTAGTTAATATCACATATTAACAAAATATGTTAATATCCTTCTATCTCCTCTCCTCCCAAAGCAATTCCTTCTCTCTCCTCCCCCCAAAAGCAATTCCTTATCTCTCCTTTGCAAACCACCATGGCCAAACAAAAGATACCCTAGTTGCAAAGCATGTAAAGTGGACCCATACTAACCCTTTAGGGAAAGGAATTTGCTCGTGCGGTGGTCGCGCGATGGTGTTAACGGACGTACAGTGGCGGTGGTGCTAGTGGTCGTGTAGTGGTGTAGTGGGTGGTGCGTATGGTTGTGTGATGGTGACGGTGATGGGTTAATAGTGTAGATAGAGAAGAGAAAGGGCGTTTAGCGAAAAAAATACAAAATTACCTTTGATATTAACAATTTTTGTTGATATAGGATATTAACTTGTATTTTCTCGAAAGAAAAAGAGGAAAATAAAAGCTTCTTAAAAGTTGGAAGTTTGGTGGTTCATTTTCATAATCTTTTGTTGAATAATGGAAAGGATGAAGTAAATGAAATATCTTATTGTTATGAAATTGCTCCACTAAAATAGGTTTTGACCACAACTTTCTGAATTATGTCGTATCTTAAGCCTCATTACAAACTCAAAAGCCATCATGATTTGCAAATGGTTTTTAGCCTTTGTCATTGGAGCGAGTCACTTTCCAGGCATATGGTGAGGATGGTTTGCAATGAGATGGTTGAGTACTTTAGTGTTCCTCCTCCTTTATTAATTTCTCTTTACTTTTCTAGCTCCTAGTTGGATGCTTGTGATGTCACTTAGTAGAGCTGATTTGAACTTGGGGAAGGATGTGGCTTGAATGGCTGCACCGAGTGCTATTGGGTTTGCTATCTTGGAGTTTATTAAGCTATTTGTTGCTTCGACTATTGTCTCTTGTGTTTTTTATACTCTGTTTTTAGTTTTTTGTTGCATGCAAACTTGATGTTCAGGGTCATACAATCTAAAACCATTTGATTTTGTATCGATGCTAGTGAAGGAGACAAAGAGGTAGAAGGAGAAGAAATCAAAATACAAGAAACATGGTCAAGGAACCTCCCAATAAATCTCTTAAGGAGCATGGTAAACCAGATACAATAACTGGACCATTGAAAAAAAACTCGACCGTTCCGTTATGTAACGCCCGCTTTGTAACGGGTTTCCGACTTGCCGTTCTGAAAAAGGCCGTTATAAAACGCCGAGTTGAAATTCACACCCAAATCGGCGAGTTGGTCGTTCCGTAGCAGTAGAACGTCGTTGTGAAACTGTTACATTTGCTGAGTCAAAGAGTGACATGCTGCTCCACTTTTTGTCTGTTTTCAACATTTTTATAGCAGTTGTGACAGCTTTGTTCCATCACCTTTTTTACCCATTTATTTATTTTACCTTTATGGTGAGCTGTGACCCATTAGCTACCCCTCTTTACCCCTTTTTTATAAAATAGTCTTGGGGCTTTCTACTCCGAATTGAAATTTAATGTTTGTAATAGTTTTGGGGAAAATATGGTATAAATACAAAGCACGTGAATTAACAAGCTAAAAATTCTACTTGTGTTGTTTTTTTTTAAAATTCACGCCGCGAAATCCGCGATCCATTCTATTTAACCATTACGAGTCGTTTCTGCGACAACGCGACCGTTAACGCTAACGCAACCGCGACCGTGTTTTTTTCCATTAACTGGACTCCTCTCTAGTAATGTAAGAGCACATATCACCGCGAATTGAAGCCTAAATTCAAACAGTTTATCTTCGATGATTCTTTTGCAGGTTCACCGAATGATTGCCCTCTCACTTGTGTAGACAAATTTTATGGAGAAGTGTGACACTATGAAGCCCAACCGTGTCACTGATGATGCTATTAGACTTCGCCTTTTTCCTTTCTCACTACGTGACAAGGCAAAATAGTGGATACGAGATGAAAGTAATCAAAGTATTGGTTCCTTTGATATGTGGGAGAAGCTAGACAAGGGCTTTTTAGTCAAATTCTTGGGGCAAGATAGTGATTACACAATGTCCTCGTCATGGTATCCCAGAGTGGATACATTATATAATGGTATGACTCATGAGTTCCGCAATTGATGCTGCATTCAGGGGTTCCATCATAACTAAGAACCCAACCAATACAAAGGAGTTAATCGAGACGATGGAAGATAATGACAATTATCGTATTGGAGGACGGCGCAACACTAAAATGCACCACCTGGAACCAAGACCACCACTCGATTAACAACCTGTTTGCATAAAAAAAAAAAAAAAATTAACTACCCACTCCTAAAAGATCTAGTCTTGAGCAAATGATGGAGAACTTCATAGCCACAACCAATAATCCATCCAATATATACAAAGCTCATAAAAAGCCATATATGCCAACTAGCTTATCAAGTTGGCCATATACTAAGATTCCGGGTGCTTTTCCAAGGGGCATCTCTAGCATTGCAAACCAATTGGAAAATCCTCCTACAAAGGAGCCATCAAGCAAGGTTGTTGAAAAGGCAATCACCAATGAAGAGGTGGGCGACAAGGATGTGATCTAGGATGTCACACAAGTTCCCTTTTCGCAGTGATTGGCTAAGCCAAGTTAAAGAAGAACTACGGGAAATATCTTGACATATTGAAGAAGCTCCACATAAATATCCTGTTCCTTAATACAATAAATGTCTTGTTATGCTAAGTTTTTTAAGGATATGTTCTCTAACTAGAAGAAGCTCAAAGCGAATGCTCGCTTTTGGTCGCTGAGTGTAGTGCACTATTACAAAACTCCATTTCAGTGAAGCTTGGGGAAATAGAGATTAAAAAGTCTCTTTGCGATCTTGGTGCAAGTGTGAGTCTCATGCCTTAGTCTATCAGCAAGAAGCTTCAAATGGGTAAACAAAAGCCCACACGCATCTCTCTACAACTTGCTGATAGAGTGGTGAAGTTTCCTTTCGACATACTTGACAATGTTCCTCTTAGCGGGGAAAATTCTTTATCCCATGCGACTTTTTTGTTATGGAGATGGAGAAAGATGCACTAAGTGCCTATTATCCTAGGTAAGCCATTCCTAGCCACCGCAAGTGCAATTATTGAATGAAAAATGGCTAGATTATTTTTGACATGGGTGATGAGAAAATGGAGTATTCACTCGTCAACTCTATGGGGACTTCTTCTATGGGGGAAACCATGTTTAAAGTTGATGTTCTTAATGAGTTGCAACAAGAGCAAGTAGCATTGGCTAGATCAGATCATGCACTCGAAACAGTGTCGAGGGAAGTGTTGAGGAAGATTGGGAGACTAGGGAGTACAAGCATCTACTTAAGGAAGCAAAGGTCAGTCATCACTCCAATCAAGGAGGTTCTTAGCTTGTGTGGGTGTTTGGAGGATATAAAGTTGGATTGAACCCGTCATTTGATTATGGGGTGGGACTACCACATTCCCAAATGAAATCTTCTAACCCTGTTTAACCAAGTCTACTCTTATTTAGGAATTCATGACTTCCATGTTCGTATCATCATTCAACAAGTGGAGAAAGTTAATTAGCAAATCTAAAGAGGACAATTGCGTGAAGTCGACGTGCATAATTGCAATTAGGATGAGTAATTTCTTATTCTAACCCTTGTAAACACGAGTAGCTTATTTATTTTATTTTGCACAACTAAAGCGAGATGCTATTCATATATGAATGAGTTGGTTTAGAGAGATGTGTGGTAAGATAAGATGATTCTGAATGCTTGAAATTTATGGTGGTTTTATAATCGATGACGCGCATTTCTTGTTTTCCACTTGTTTTGATTCGTTAGCACATGTATTCTTGCTTAAGGGGTTCTCTTGCTTCCTTTGTGTTTCATAGTTGACTCATTGGTCTAGCTTAGGGGAGTTTGATAAGTCATGTGTTGTGCGTGTTTTTAGAGTCCTTTTAGGTAGTTTTCTATTCTAGATTAGTTGATCATAGATTATTTTAGCTTGATTTGGTTTAGCTGAGATCATATGATGCTTGTGGGTGATTTCGTTGTTTTTGATGTATTTCAGGATTCACGAGGCTAATGATGTTTAAGGTCAAAGTGAAGATAAGCAAAGCTTGAGATGCCAAGCTCCAGCTACACAATGAGTGTGTTTTAGAGAAGTAAACTTGTAATTTGAAGTCTAGAATGAGGCACGCCCATGCATACTTGGGGCATGCCCGTGTGTGTCGAGTGTTCCATACCAGGTGCTACATTCTAAGGAAGTCACGACCATGTTGAAGGCGGGCATGCCCATGGAGTAAAGATACGCCTAGCAAGTCACGCCTATGCCAAAATGAGGCACGGTCGTGCATTGACGAGTGATGTTGATATATCGTGAGCCATAGAAAGAGACACGTCGATGTCTAATTAAAAGTTTTGAAGATAAAGTTCTTGTTTTGATTATTTAATAGTGGCACGGACGTGCCTTGTGCAACACGCCCATACCTAGTCGAGTAGAGGCGATTTTAAGTAGTTTAATTTCCTTATGTTCTTGATAAGTTACCACAAGAGCAAGTAGCATTGGCTAATTCAGATGATGCACTTGAAACACTGTTGATGGGGAGTGCTGACGAGGAAGATTAGGAGGCTATGGTATACAAGTGTCTACTTGAGGAAGCAAAGATCAACCTAGTCATCGTTCCAATAAGGAGGATTTTAACTCATTAAATGTTAGGGAGAGTAATATGCCTCCCCCGGTAGAATTGAGCCCCTTCCCTCTTCCCTGAAATATGCAAATTAAGTCCTAATAATAGTACTAATACATAACCTGTTAATGTTATTGTTAATGCTGAACTTGATGAATAAAACTTGAGCAATTGCTTGCCATTTTACGAAAAAATAAAAAAAGTTATCGGTTACACCATTCATGATATTAAGGGTATTAACCCTTCATTTTGTATGCATAAAATCATTCTTGAGGACCATCATACCTCCTCCATAGAACCTTAACGACGACTAAATCCAAATATGATGGAGGATTGGAAGTAGTTATAAAGAGGTTCTAAAATTGCTTGTTGCAGATATTATCTACCCTATCTCGGATAGTATGTGGGTGAGCCCTATACAAGTAGTCCTAAAGAAAAGAGGTATCACCGTTGCCGAGAATGGCAAGGGTGAGGCGGTCCCCACTAGAACTGTAACATGGTGGCGTATGTGTATAGATTATAGAAGATTAAATAAAGCCACCCGGAAGGATCACTTTCCTCTTCCCTTAGTTGATCAAATGCTAAAATGGTTGGCTAAGCATTCCTTTTTTGTTACTTAGATGGATACTTTGGCTTCCTTCAAATTCACATTCGTCCATGCAATTAAGAAAATACTCCCTCCGTTATTCTAAATGCATCACTTGGTGATGCGCCGAGTTTTAGGAGAGTAATATAATATTGTGAGTGAGTGAATAATTTATTATAGTTAAAGTAAGATGGGGACCATGAAAAAGAAAGTGTGAGAGAGAGTAGATATTTTTATTATTTAAGTGAGGACCATGGAAGAGAGAAATAATAAAATAATTTAAGTGAGGTTTAAAGTAAGAGAGAGAAATGATAAAATATAGTATGAAGTTACCAAATATAGAAGTGATGCATTTAGAAAAAACACCCATAAAAGGGAAGTGATGCATTTAAAAAAAAAAAAAAAAAAAAAAAAAAACCGAAGGGAGTACTAATTTTAATGTCCCTATGGCACTTTCGCTTATCGAAGAATGCCATTTGGACTACAAAATGCTATGGCCAGGTCTTATTGAAAATTCAATGGAATTTTTATGATAACCTCTCCGTCTATGGAACATCTTTCGATATGTCTTGAAATTATGAAAAAGTTGTATCCCATGACATATACTAGGTGATAATGGAATACTAGGTGCAAATTAGTTTAGTTCAACTAGATAACTAAAGAATGACAACAACAACAACAATAAACTCATGTTACAAAGTTTTTATTTTTTATGCCCAAATCTAAGGTCATATGACTCATGAATTTATGATTTTGTCCATGAAATTCAAATGGTTAGATAGCATTTTAAAAGATTTATAAATTTTATTTTGTAAGTGATATGTCCATTTTATATAGTGATTTACCCCCGTCCATTTTATATAATGATTTACCCGTCCCTTGGTCATATTTAGGAGTATTTTTGGCTCTACAAAACTATTTTTTATTACTAATATGCGTTTTCGAGTGTTTTCGTAGCTTTGGTATTGTTTTATAGGAAATTGCAGATTTGGAGCATTTTCTCGGACTTATTTGGACCACTACGAGCATTGGATTAGGATCGCATTCATATGACCATTTTCCGTAGCCCAAGACCGCGTTGGAGTAATCAAACCGGTGATTAAGGGCTCGGCGAAGAAGAAGAGATCGGGCAATAGACCGAGTCATAAAGACCCAAGGAGGAAACCCGGATTGGGCCAAGAAGGAGCCCAATTGAGAAATCCATCTTGCTCGGATGCTCGCCCGACCGGGGAGTGCCCTCGCCCTTGGGCCTGCTGGGTGAGCGACAGAGAGGCACCAACCGAAGGCGGGCCCGGTCGGGCGCCTCCAATTTGAACAAAATACTAAATCGAATCCAAAACTGACACCCTAGCACTTTTCCGGCTATATTTAAAGTCTATAAAAAATAATGATCTGATTCTAATTGGGGTTAGAAAGTAGACTTTAAGAGCCTCCAACGATATATTATAATTCAATTTCAACTCCGGAATCAAAAGTTATGGGTTTCAGAAAATCAAACTTTTTTGCAAGAGTAGAATGGGTGTAGAATTGTATAATCGGTCCGATTCTACTGATTTTACCAGCGATTCTACCAATAAACGATTTGGGCTACAATTTAAATCGTTTAGGTGATTCAAGATATCCGAATTGCGATTTTAATAACAATGAAAGGTATTAAAGAAAAATCATATTAGAACGGCCAAACATGAAAGTAAATAATATATGAATATTATAGTGAACAAAGGGGAAGAAACAAAAAAGAATACCTCATTGTAAGCTTCTGCAAATCTTTTATTTCCGACTCTAGGAGATCCAAAGTTGTACATAGTAACAGTTATAGCCCCGTTTCTAGAGCAAACAAATAATAGTGATTTAAATACTAGACTATGACAATATTCAATAAGTAAAATGCTAGTTATCCATGGCAATTATTTGAAAGGAGCTATTACTCAAGATTTCAAGTGACATAGCAGCAAGAGCACTTCAACATCCTCTATAGAATACAAGCTAGCATCCAAATGAAAAAGATGGTTATCCTCTATAATAGTTGTTCAGTTAGAAGCACCATCAAAATTAACAAGAATAATGTGTCCACGAAAATTGAGACATTTCTATGTTCTTATATCCATAATTTACTACTAGTTAATATCCGGTGATCAGAATTGCCATAATGTATTAACAAAGCACTCAAACACCGTATGATCTATCATCAAATTCAATAAAGATCTTCAAGCATGCCACCTTGTGAAATACCGACAGTTATGATAGCATGGATATATGACCTTCACAAAGCATGTAGCATAAAATGAGTGAACTCACTTTGCTAATTGAGTTGAACTAAGCTCGAGAGAAAGTAAAGTTGCTAAAGCACCACCAAGACTATGACCAGTGCAATAAATATGCCATTTATGTTGTGGTTGTTCATCATCATCCCTGCATCACATTGAATAAACCTATAAACCTGAGATACAACACTGCAATATTGCATACATAGCTATGAATTGCATGTATACCACAGACAGCAACAAGCAACTGACTAATAAGATGAATAAATAATTTTAATCCCCTTTTAGCAATTAGACATTAAGATGAAGAAATGATTGAATGACTTACATGATACCAACAGCTTTCTTGATAAGAGCCATAATTCTGGTTCTAACAGAATCATATGCACTCAGAAATCCGCTATGAACCTGAAATAACCATTCCAATTGGCAAAATATGGAATGATCATAAGACAGGCAACTATCTAACAACAACAAATTAAAAATGAGTCATACCTGAACTTCTTCCTTGAAATCTCCACCAATTCTTTCAGGATTTAACCTGTAAGAACAGCATTTTGAAATTATTCATCTCAAATGCATTCATACTGATATTCACAAATGCCCCATGACAAAACACCATCAATTCACAAATCACAAGATGAGAGGACACGAACAGCTCAATATCACACAGATACATACACAAAACCCCTCTTAACAGCACTGCTTTGAAGAATGGCACTAATATGTTAATCAAAAACTTTACCCAGCAGGAGCTAGCATTAGATCAGTCCGCAAGTCCTTCCATCTTGCCTAAAAGTTCAGCAGTTAGATTATTTCCATCAAGAAACACAATGCACTTCAACATGAGCATTTTTTAGTAAACAACCTACTTGTTCAGTACCCCTGAATGCAACAACTAATCTTTTCCTCATACAATCACGCCAAATTGCTACCTGCAGCCTTTTAACTTTATAAATCCACAGGAAATCATACAATACTGAATGCTAAGCTATTTACTTGGCAAGCATGAGCCAGAAAATTACCTGTGTATCTGTAGTTGAATTGTCCAAAAAACAGAGCTTCTCAAAATCTGATTTAATTAAACTTGGCTTGCCTAATGCAGTGGCGAGCATAGCCCAAGCTTCCATGGCACTTTCAGCAGTTGAAAAAAGGGCCCTTGTCTCTTCAGCTCTCTTTTCATCCAAACCCGCAAGCCCGTCATTCTTCAAAGAAGCTAAGATATCATCATTCTGTTTTGATAAACCGTCTTTTTTATCTTCAGAATGCTCCCCATTCAGCGATTCCTTCTTTAATTGAGGGCTAGCAGCAGACAAAATCATAAGTGCACTGAAAATAGAATCAGTTTGCTTCAATATGTCCTCAGTTGCCTTCCTAATATCAGGAAGTGAAGACTGGATCTTGCCAATGTTAAGTGGGCTAAAATCCGCACCAGTATCATTACTAGAGTCCTTTTCTGGAGTTGCAAGCCCAGATTCAATATAGCCCGCTTCTGCCACTTGCTGTGACTGAAAGCCAATATTTTTTATTAAGTCAAAACCATCCCATTTCATTTTATCAGGAATAGGGATCCCTACTTTCTGAATCACAATTTGATTAATAACATCAGCAAAACTTCTCCAAAAATCTATGTTTGATTGTGTAGTATCACTAGTATCATTTGATGAAAAATCCTCCGCATAGTCTGCATCACTGGATTTTGGACTTTCCAAGGATCCTTCAGAGAGGTTGTTTGATGATGGTGGTGCATCAGACTCACCAGAAGATTCACTTGACCCTTCAGCTGCCTCATGCTTAACAATACTTGATAACCAATCTTGATGCAAGTATGAATCATTCAATGATTTTAACTGACCAAAAGCAAATTGTACAAACTGGCGTACTGGCACACTTTCAGATCCAGCAAGCATTTTTATAGCTGAATCAACACCCTTTTGACTAAGAAATTCAGAAACAAAAGGTATCTGCCACCACTTTTTATCTTCATCAATTTCACCAAAACTCCTATATTTGACCTGAAAAGAATGACATGTGAAAATAAGTTCTTGAATGGACTGATCCTACTCAAATCTTGTCTATATATGACTCTTATGGAAAGAGTTGGTGAAATAATTTATACAATCATGCAAAACAGTAGACAAAGGTTATCCCTTCATAAAATTAATTACACCCAAAAACTAAAGCTTCAGAAATAATAATCTTTCATTTTAAAAGATTTTCAATATTAAAAAATTTATTTCTTCTTCCCATAGTATGTCTGTTCTTCCCTTTAGACATCATTCCTAGTTACTCTCCTAAATTGATTAACTAATAAAACTTTACAAGAGCTACTTTAACAGACAAGAAATTTCATGGAAACCAAATATGTTAAGATTATCCTAAAGTGATCCGTAACAATGAGCATTAAAATCAAAGCAATGGAGATCAGAAAATCCTAGACATGAAATAATTTCAGTGTCGAAGTCTTTAATTGTATTAGCAACTAAATCTATACGACAAGATTACAACTAAGAAACACAGAGAAAGTTCATATTTGTTTTCACCAAAGCCATCTACTTCATTGCTTTCCAATCTAAGGCACGGGTATACTGAGACCAGCGTATAGCCGTATATAATTCAATATCTGATAAAAGAGGGCACCTACAATACATTGAATTTGCAAATGACGCAAAACATAGTACACACGTGCAATAAAGAAGCTCTTGATATCAGGTCCAATTTTTAAGGCTTTTTCTATATGACATTTTCCTATTCAATTGAGTATAGAATTTCTCTACATCAGCACAGGATTATTTAAACCTCATATATAGTTTAACAGCAGCGATAGTAGTAGAAAAAGATTGGAATTGTTGAACATATATATGGTGACTAAAACACTGAATAAAAGGTGTAAATCTTTTTATGTCAGTGGCCAAAATAAATTAGTCGCTGTTGTAAATTTTTTTCTATAACCACATTGTTTAAATTGCTTCCTAAAATTAAAACTTACCTCTAATTGTATCTTTCCACCACCTCCCATGCCTTCCAATTCCAACAGCAACTCATGTGAATTTCCTATCAAAATATACTGTTATCATCTCATCACTGAATGAAGTAATTCTCAATCCTTTACTCTTAAATTGTCTCTTCTATTAAAAAGACTTGCCTCCAATATTACCTTAAAATTACCCAGATACTTCATATTGGTAGTTGAAAAGAAGACAGAGTTATTCCTTTAACGCTTAAATTTTCATTAGGAATGGGGACAAATCTAAATGGACAAATTTTTCAACAACAAAGCCTTAATCCCAAACATTTTTTTTATACTTAAACAAAAGCAATTTCAAACAAACAAAACATAGCATATTACGGCCAGATACATTTTCTTTTGAAAGATATCACAATCTATGATGCTAATCAATGTATAGTTTAAGCAGAGCCAAACAAGACTGAAGTTTAAACAAATTCATGATAACAGCCAACTTGTGGAAAGAAGAACAAGAAATTAGAGTTCGTACCATCACATAAAGCTTCTAGATCAACGCCTGCATTTCCCATACGCTTGTGTGGAGTGACAAGATTTGCATCCCAAGCTGCCACCTAGAGAGTTCACAACAAATGTTACAGACAAGTAAGTAAATTATAATAACGCTTTCCTCAAACCTGCACAGCTTTCTAAATCTTATTTATTGTTTTATTTAATTTGGTGCTCACTGCTCAGAATCCAAAATAATGGTGTTTGGAATGTGGGAATGGTACTTCGGGGTTAGAGAGTAGGATGGAGATTAAATTTGGAATTCATAAAAATAAAGGCTATCCCTTGTTTGGTGTGTTGGGGAATTTATAGATAATAGATATATGTTTCTAAGAGACCCATGCAGCCACTTAAACGATCTACCAGCTTATGAACTAAACTAGTCCCTCATACAACTCAGATACTTCACAGGCTAACAACCAGGTGATATCCATTGATCATCATAGAACTTATTCATTTCCATGAGAAGAGAGTAAAGTTGACAGGATGTAACGCTATATGAGAAGAAGCTAAAGGAATGACCCACACGGGTTAAAGTAGACAAATTTGTAAACTATTACCAACTATCAAAAGTTTGCTGCATTCTGCTGGAGCAAGAGGTGCAAGCAGCAAAAGAACTCAAGTAGATAACATTTATCTATAAATATCTTAAAACTTTGGAAAATTTGTCGGGAATAAGTCAACCTTTAGTCGGTCTTCTCAAAATAAGTCAAGTTTTTAATTAACTCAAAATAAGTCAAAACCTTTTAGGATAAGTGGTAACCTGTTATATGGGTAAAATAATGCCACGTGTCAAAAAGTGGTTGGCCTGTTTTAAACTTTAAATAAAAATTAATTATTTCAATTATTTAAAAAAAAAAAAAAAAAAAAAAAACCTTTTTTTTATTAACCCACTCCCCACCACAGAACAACCACCACCTCCCGCCGGCCGACCACTACCCCCTAAACCATACCAGCCTGCCGGCAACCTTCACCACTCTCCCACCGCCGACCCCCCCCCCAATTGCGGCCCATATCTTCCTCTTCTTCCCCCTGCCACCGCCCCCTGGCCTTCCTCTGTGATCATTGTCCAAATTCTCGTCCCCCACCCCGACCCCTTTCTCTCTTCCTCCTTCCCCTCACCACCCTTTTATCTCTCCTCCTCCCTAACCAATTTTGATGAATGTGTGATTATTTTGGGTTTTTGAAAAACCCAGATTGTTGAATCAAAGAAGGTGAAGGGCAATAATTAGAGAGGGGGAGGAGAAAATTGTTTGGCCAAAGATCAAAGAAAACGTCACAGCTATAACTCGTCAATTGAGAAGCACCTGATTTATTTGCTTTCAAGCTCCAAAATAATGAAGAATCCAAGATCCACTGAAAGTGGGGAAGGATGAAGCTACTAAGAGGATGATTGGGTAGAATTCATGATTGAAGAATGAAGAGGTAGTGGTTGGTTTTGGTGATGGCGGCAGTTGAAATAGTGGCAGGGAAGGGCAGCGGGGTTTGGTGGTGTACTGGTGGTTGGTTTGGTTGTTAGTTTGGTTGGGGTGAGTTATGGTGTTAAAGAAGGTGGTAACCTTCTAGCTCTTTTAGTAGCAGGTTACCGGTAAAAAAACACATTCAAAGGTCGACTTATTTTTAGTTAATCAAAAGTTTGACTTATTTTGAGCAAATCAGGTAAAGGTTGACTTATTTTTGACAAATTTTCCTAAAGCTTTAGTCAAATATCAATTATTGAGCCAGAATGCAATGATTCCGGCAAGGTTGTTCAACATTATCCCTACATATTTTTATTAAGGCAGTTTCACATATCTTGTATAATAAAATTACATTTATTTCAATGCCAGAAACACAGTAAACTAGTAAACTGATCTTCAGTTTACTTTTACCTGAAGAAATGCATTGGATGAAAGCTTGATATTCACAACAAATTCTTCGTTCCATGTTGGATCTTTTGTGCTGAAAACATCAAAAAGCAGAAAAACATGAAAGTTCTCAAACAAGTAGTCGTATATAAAGGCCATTAATCGTTAATATTTGTAGTATTAGTGGTATATGTTCTTTCATGCATATCAATCCAGGTGTTGCATTCTAAAAGAAGCGAAAAATCAATAGCAACAGTTCACCAACTCCCATATCTGAAAAGATGAGGCTATTAGAAATTTGCGCTGCAGAATAAAAGAGATAATTTGGAAAGAAAATGAACTACCCCCATTTTGTTTTGCTCTTGAGCACTTGACCATCAAATTCCATGACAACATATGGATCGCTAGTTCCCTGACATAAAACAAATGTGTTGAGAGAGGTGGGGAATGAAGTATGCAGAAAATATTATCCAAAAACCGAAAAAGAAACATAAAGCTAAAGGAAAAGGCACATAGTGCATTAAAAAAAACATTAAACATGGAATTCATAATACATATTTATAAGTCACAGATAAGACAAATTCATAAATTAAAGCAGAAGTGACCAGAAGATTACAAACCCATGGATCCATGGCTGGTAAATTATAGCCTTCCTTCAACTTTATGAACAACTGTCCATCATATATTTCTCGAACAAATGATCTGCAAATATGAAATTTCTTAAGCACATTTCAATTTTTTGACCAAAGTAAATCTTTTTCCTATTTCTTGTGAGTTGTTCGTTTATAATACATAAATTGTTGCAAGGGTATTATCCTAAAGAAAGTTAAGTTAATTGGCTCTTTCATATGCAGTTTGAACCCATATTACAGTACTAAACCACAAAACAAATTGGTAACTTGGAGAAAATTGCTTTTAAGTAATTAGAAAAGCACTACACTGACTTGTAATTATTAAAATTGAATGCCTATGCACCAATATACTTCCTCACTCAACAAGTCTATTTGTGCCTTCAGTTCATAATATTTAAGCCATTCTCAACGGCAACACAATAGTACTTCAATTTATTTTTTTTTTATTTAAAAAAAAAAACATTAAGTTCCATCAACAACATTAGTTTCTGAACACCAAAACCTTGCTAAAACAACTAGAAATTCTACGAAAGTTGAGAATGAAGCCACTATGCAACAATCATGAATTAGTAAGATAAATGAATGAAACAATAACAACAATAAATGAATGAAACAGATGCCAAATTCACAAGAGAGATCAAGAAATGGCAACGATAACAACAATAACAATATGAATGACACCAACAGTAAGACCATAAGTAAAACAAAGAGAGCAGTGGACTAGTCTAAGGCCCTGCTCTCTTCACTTTAAAAAAAAATAAATATTCAATAAAAATAATAATATATTTTAATCAACAAAAGTCAGTAACTTCAAAGAGCAAATATAATAGGCAATCAGTAAAATTAATTTCAATTCACTAAAAATAATTTAACTTCAACAAAAGTCATTTCACTTTAGCAAAAAAATAAGGCGAAGAAAACTGGGCCTAAATTAACATTAAAACAACCGGAAATATCATCTTCTTGAGAATGTAGTTGACAATTGACTAATATGAGTAATCATTCAAGCAATTAATCCCTTAAAAAACCATCACACAGTAATAAACTCGAGAAAATGATCACGCACTCGGAAAGATAAACCGTCGTACAACCAGCAGCATCGGTTTCTCGTCGTCCAACATTATCCTACACAACATAAAAATGTTCAATCAAATTAAACATTCTCTCCGAAACTAGAATTTCAAATGCATCTTATCCAAAACTACCTAATCAAAATTACTCAACTTAACAAATATTGTACTTCGTATAACTGCAAAATTCCTAATCAAAATTGATGCAACAAACAAATATAATGATATTAATGGAAGAAAATTACAGGAGGAGAAGTATAAGCTTCGAAAGCGAAACCGGCTAATATGACCGCAAGATTAATATCAAACGCAGGACGCTCTATTTCCTCCACAATCTCGACCTTGTCAACGTGCAAATTCGATTTGCAAGAACAATACAGAGTGCAATTTCGCGCTCTAAAATTCCCAAAATCGGAGCCAAAAACCCTAATTTTAGTAGAGGGAAAAAGAGGTTGAAGTTGAAATCGAGGAAGTTTAGAAACTGTGATCGATCGATTGCGTTGGAGTTTGGAGGAGAGAGAAAATGGATAGTGAAGGAAACGGAGGTGTAAGGAAGCAGCAGTCATGGCTGACAATGGAGGTGAGAGAGTGAGAGCCACAAAATTGATTAGCGTAACGGTCAAAAAATAAGAGTGAGGTTTATTTTATTCCTTTAGTTAAAACTTGAAAAAGAGTGTTTGCGCCAAAAAGTGGTGGCGTCGTACTGTCGTAGACGTAATTGTAAGTTGAATGTCCGAGAGGAGAATGAGAGATGATGGTGCTGCCAGCAGGCTCGCTCGGCTCGGTTTTGGATCTGGTGTCCGGTGGAGTTGGAAAGATCTAGTACCCTCCCCTTTAATTACATTTAATATCTTTTTACATAAAATAATTCAATCTTTGCACGATCTTATTTTAATAAGCTAACCTTTTGACTATTCAGCAATTATCCAAGCTTTATACCTCACTAGATGAAGCTCGTGGGATGCACTTTTTTTTTTTTTTAAACCAAATAATTTTTGTATTATGTGTCAAATTTTATTATTTTATTCGTTGTACGTTGTATATTATTTAATATTTTTATTTTAAAATAAATTGTGAATTTTCTCTCATTGGTTATATATTTAGATAAAACTCCTAATTTTAAAAGATAATATATTATATTTAATTAATTTCAACTTTAAAATATCATTCTTAATTTTGTTTATGTGGCATTTGAATTATTTAACTTTAAAAGAATTTACAAATCTCTTATTTGATTGGCTATCACTAAAATTTATAATCCTACATGGCGCGTTAAGAAAATCTAATATCATATCATATCACTAATAAATAAAGCTAGCATCAAAAAAAAAAAAAAAAAAAAAACTAATAAATAAAGCTGGACTCGCAGTCAGGCCACGAGGAAGCGACACTTGACATTCCGGTTTTTGCCAAGTGTCGCGACACGTATGAGATAAATAGGTATTATTGTGACACATATGATGCTAAATCAGCGATTTTTGGATAGATTTTTGAAGATAAAATTGTTGCATAGAGTTTTATTATCGATAAAATTCTTATATTTCTTATGTAAAAAATTAATAATAATTTTTAACAAATCCTATAACTCAATTCTATTTTCATTATCAAATTCATTTTAAAAAATTCTATAAAATAAGATCCATTTATAATATATTTAATCACAAACTTTTATACGTAGCTAGCCAAACCGTGTCACCAACTATTACAAGATCAGAGTTACTTCATTAGTGCTATAGGGGTTACTTAGCCAGTGTTATAGTGGTTACTCAATCAGTGTTATACATAAGGGTAATTTAGTCCGTGTTAAGAGATTATTCAGTTAGTATTACAGGGGTTACTTGATCAGCTTTATAGGGGTTACTTTGTCCAGCCAGATGGTGTGGTTAGTCGCATACAAAATGCATTGTTATTTAATTCATTTAAAAAAATATTAGAAAGTCAGTAAAATAAGTTTAATCAGTAAAAATAATTTTAGTTTGGTAAAAATACTTTCAGTTCAGTGAAAAAATTTAAGTTCAATAAAAATAATTTCAAGTCAATATTAACATAGATATCTATTCACAAACAAAACTATACAAATTACACTCCATATGATATTGTATGTCTAGATATCCTACATTATCAGATCGAATTATTTGACCGTATTTAACATTCAAGTAAAAATGTTATCTTAAAATTTTATCAACCATCTCAGCATCACCCGGGCACAAAACTAGTCACTAATATATAATGCCGGTCTCGCAGCCAGGCCACGAGATAATGACACTTGACATTCTAGTTTTTCACCAAGTGTCGCGCCATGTAGGCAAAAAAATAGGTATTATTGTGATACATATGATGCTAAGTAAGCGATTTTTGGATAGATTTATAAGATAAAATTGCTGTATAGTGTTTTATTATCGATAGAATTTTAATATTTTACATATACAAAATTAATCCTAACTTTTAATAAAATATCCTATAACTTTGTTTTATTTCCATCATCAAATTCGTTTTAAATTTTTTTTTAAAATAAGATCTATTTATAATATATATTTAATCACAAACTTTTACACGTAGCTGGTCAAACTGTGTCACCAACTATTACAAAATTAAAGTTACTTCGTTAGTTCTATAAAGGTTACTTGGTCGGTGTTATAGTGGTTACTCAATCAGTATTATCGATAGGGGTACTTAGTTAGTGTTAGAGGTTACTCAGTTAGTATTGCAGGGATTATTCGGTCAGTTTTATAGGTATTACTTTATTCGGCCAGATGGTGTGGCTAGCCGCATACAAAATGCATTGTTATTTGACTTGTTTAAGAAAATTTAGGGAATCAATAAAAATAAGTTTAATCAGTAAAAAAATAATTTTAGTTTGGTGAAAATAATTGAAGTTCAATAAATATAATTTAAAGTTAATAATAACATAGATATCTATTTACAAACACAATTACCACTACTACATAGATATATAAGCCATATGATATCGTATGTCAAAACAACCACTATTATATAAATATATAAGCCATATGATATCTTATATCTAAATACCCTACATTATCAAAACGAATTATTTGACCGTATTTAACATTCAAGTAAAAATGTTATCTTAAAATTTTATCAACCTGGGCATCGTCCGGGCACAAAACTAGTATATATATAAAGGGGAATTTTTTCCTGAGTTTTTAGAGCGCCACTTAGGATTTTATTTTTTAAAAAATTATTATAGCGCCACTTAAAATTAATATTTTTAAAACGCTACAATCGGCTAATGCCACATAAGATTAGTTTTTTTATAGCACGATGAGGATTATAATAAAAAAGCGTCGTATAGGATTAATAATTTTAAAATGAAACAATAGGATTATGGCACGTAATATTAATTTTAGAGCGTCACATAGAAATATCTTATATTTTAGCTAATGAAAAAAAAAAAGGAATTGCAATTTATTTTAGATAAAAAAAATTTATATTAATTATAAAAATAAAATCAGCGCATTTTTTGTGTGGCTGGCCATATCGTGTGGCCGGTTGAGACAAATCCAAATACTGACCGAGTAACCCCTAATCGATTGAGTAACCTTGTAATCCCAACCACACAATGTGACCAGCCACATATGTAACTTTCTAAAATAAAATATTATCTTTTTATATTACGAATTTTATCTAAATATGAGAAACAAAGTTAATAATTCATTATATAATAAAAAAATTCAAGGCAAGCGCGAATATTACAAAGTTTATTAGATAAATATATATTTAGTAAAATATTTTATTTGAAAAAAATACAAACAAATCGTGCATCGCACGGGCTTCATCTAGTTTCATCCTAAGTGGCTCTTTATTATTATTATTTTTTACAGGAAGTAGGAGAGAAAATTAATTAGAACTCAAAAGGTCACTAGTTATGTTTTGGGTAAAAATACCCCAAGGTCACGTGGCCCAATAAGATGGTGACACGTGTCACCTTTAGAGAGGTTCAAAACGAACCTCTCCCCAATTGACAAGTGGCACCCGTAGTCCTCAAGGGAAAATGATGGCCTTTAAGGCCCAATTCCTAAGGCAGCCCATCAATCCTAGGTTTCCGTGACCTAGGATAGTGGCGCTAATTCCAAGACCCTATAAATAGGGAGATATTCCCACCAAAGGGGACATTCAGAATTATTCACAAAAAACAGAGCAATCATTAATTGCAGATATTTAATTCTCCACTGAGAGAATACTCCTGATCTTGGAATCCGAGAAGATACTCTACTTTCGTACTTTTTACATCATCCGAACACGTTCTAACTTGATCGTCGGAGGCGGAACTCCACCCAACTGGAGTCTCCGTTGTTTTGCAGGTACAGGCGCCCGGAATCCAGTCTTGGAATTGTAACTATCCCGAGGGACACAGAAAACCCCGAAACATTTGGCGCCGTTTGTGGGTAAATTACTTCTAAGATGGCTTCATATGAGTCTATACCGCCTGCTAATGAGAAACGGCCTACGGCCGAAGTTAAGGTCTATTCAAACCAAGACAGTGGTGACGACTTTGATATCGAAACCTATGTGGTCCCAGACGGGTCACTCAAAACCAGACGCACCCGTCCCATGGAAACAAAGGAACGGGGCAAAGAGAAAGTTGGTCCAAGTGAGACAACCGGACATCCGTCTGGACAACCCCAGGCGGCAGAAGGCGTAGCCCCAGTTACTAGAGACGAACTCATGAAATTCATGACAAGTTTCAAAGGGGAAATCAAGGACCTAATCAACAAGAAGATGGTTGGCTCCATCAGGGGTCATTCGGCCAAGAAACCTTCTCTCTCAGGGAAGAAAAAGCATGTCAAGGACCGTGTGCCTACTCCGCATCCTAAACCAAAGGAGGGGAACCGACCCTTGATTAATCTGTCCAAGATCCAATTCCCTGAAACAGGGAAGAGGAAGGCCATCCAGCATGTTTAGCCAGATGGATCAAAGAAGACTTATTCAGATGCCCGGATGACAATCCAGTAGAAGAAAAGTTAACAACTGTCTGGGTCGGCTTCAACGTCGACTTACCCAGACAACTTCGAGAATACTTTAATGAGGTATTCACAATCAAACCGAGAGAGTCAGTCAGGCGGCTTGTCCGTCCACACTCGCCCTCAGATAATCCATTCGGCTCCGTATGTGCCTCAGCAGCCATACATGCCGTATGGAAAACCATACATGCAGCTGGCCCTCTTTGGGGGTCAAACGGCACAACATGTCCAACCATTGGACTGGCAGCTTCATTTGCTCAAACTTGGGAAACAACCTTCTGCGTTCTCCAAGGAGATAACCGAGGCGGCACAGTTGGCCTAGGTTAAGAAATGTTGGTAGGCACTTATGATGGTACCACCAACCCTAAAGACCACCTCATGGCTTACACCAACCTCATGTACTTACAAGGGTTGGATGATGCCACCTGATTAGGGGATTTTTATCCACCAATCAGCATCCGACACGTGGGCCAGCCAGGTTTCGCCACGTGTCCTTCATGTAGGCCAATAGGAGCCTGCCACGTGTCATCAAGAGATTCGTCCTCCTTGGACCAATTGCAATGTGACACGTGTCCACCCATGCCAAATGGGAAAACCGGCCAACAAGGCCCAATCATTGTGGGAGGCCTAGTCAGCCTTAGGTTTAACCTAAACCTAGTACTGGCACACATCCCAAGGCATATAAATATGCCCATTAATCCTCATTAAGGGAGATGACGCACATTTAACACTCTCACCTAGAGACCCAATTACTTTTATTTCCGCATTAATTACTCCTTAATCTAGTACTAACTTGACCGTCGGAGGCGGATCTCCAATCGTCCGGAGCATCCGTTTGTTTTGCAGGTACAGGCGTCCGGTTCCAGTCTCAGAATTGTAACTCTCCCGCAGGACATCAGAAAACCCCGGAACATTTTGGCGCCGTCTGTGGGGAGAGTACTTCTGAGATGGCATCCACGTCTGTACCGAATCCTGAAGAGAGGCGTCCCCTGGACGACCCTCAAGTTCAGTCGGACCATGATACTG